CATTTTGATTCCAGAGACAGCGCGGTGAAGGGTGTTGTTTCCACACCACTCACCCTGCACGTTTAAAAAGGTTTGCTCCATCACTTACACAACTGAAACTGATTGATTAGCTGCTAGAGAAAAATCAATACAAATATCCTAGAAAACACTAGCTTGTAAATTCATTCTGGCCCCAACAAAGTCCTGGTCACCACTTGACATGTTTGTCTAGATATCGAAAATGCAACCGTGTCAAACCCAGCAAACTCAGCCCCCAAACACTGTTAATCCTAGGAATTTTTAAAACCTCAATCTCATCAGAAGGGAGGAAGTGAGAGGGAAGGTTTTGCAACGGTCTGTGAGAACAACCAGATGATACCCAGAAGTTACCTGGTAAATCTTAAACTCACATGCAGAAGTCTCCTCAAAAATAAAACACACACTGAGAAGGTAAAAATAGTCAATTATGGAGGTTGAGAGAGAGAAAAAAAAATGCCAGAAAACCAGTTAAACAGATGTAATTTATATAGAAAAGAAATTACATTTATACTTAAACACAGAAATATTTACTTTAGTGCTGTCCATTCAAAAGTTAATGAGCTCTCTCATTTTTTGGCAGCTGAATGCATAGTCAGCACATTTTTAGTATTGTGGGAAGCCATTTTATATTCAGAATGACTTCATGATTATTTCAGAATCACTTCTGAATGCTTCTTTGCCTTTCGGTTAGCCTTTAGTCTCCTAATACATTAGACTAACAAGAAATACATTTTTATGAATATAAAATGCTCATAATCACACCTGTAATCCCAGAACTTTGGGAGGCAAAGGTGGGCAGATCACCTGAGGCCAGGAGTTCGAGACCAGCCTGGGCAACATGGCAAAACCCTGTCTCTATCAAAAATAGAAAAATTAGCCAGGTGTGGTAGTGCATACCTGTAGTCCCAGCTACTTAGGAGGCTGAGGTGGTAGGACTGCTTGAGCCCAGGAGGAGGAGGCTGCAGTGAGCCGAGATCATGCCACTGCACTCCAGTGAGATCTCACCTCAAAAAAATAAAAAAGTAAATAAAATGTCTGATAAACATGCTATTCAGAATAAAATTTTGATCCTATTGTATATTGTATCATATGACTGGAAAACTGGGTTCCAATCCTCACTCCACAGTTGATTCAGAATTTAAAAAAATAAATTTGTAATTATGACATACAGGAGCCATTAAAAAAATTAAAAGAAAGAAAATGTCACTTTAAGGATGGGAAATTTAACTCCCATCCACAGAGTGGCTTTAAACCTTTATTGGTGGCATATTTAGGTTTTTCATTATAGAGTAACTTTTCGCAAAACCATGTTTGTTATTCATTATAAGACAGACAATCTAATCATGGTAGAATGCAGAACTTAAGAGTTTCTGGTCCAAAGAATATTCCTATCACCTGAATGATTAAATAACTAAATGTGCAAAAGTCATAGTAATAAGAAAATGAGTCATTTCTTCTATTATGTTTACTTTCATAATTATTATTTGCGATTTTAAAGTTCAAACTTAGGATTTCTTTAACAGCATTAAAATCTCAATTTCTTTTGCAGAAAAAAGATAATGCTACTAAATATCTTAAAAACATTAGCTTATAGATTGATACTTCCTATTTTTGAAAGGGATTATAAGGCCACCCTTAGCATGAATTTGCACTTCTCAAATTTAGAAAATGAAAGGTAACTGTCATACTAGATATCTATCTACAGAGAAATTTTTCATAAAACATAATTTGGACTCAAAAGAAAAATCTGTCATTTGATTTTAGTCATTAATGTTTTTGCTATGGATGTTACAACACTCTTACCCAAAATCAGACTTCTCTTCCTGGCTTCGGATTTTAGTTTAAGTAATATTTCTTCTTCATAATATTGACATAGCCAATTACTTCATATACGTTATCTCAAATTCTTAAAACAAAAACATTAAACGTTATAGTGATGAGAAAGCCATAAGCTTGGAGAGGTGAGATACCGTGTTCACATCATGTGGCTGGTAAGCAACAGTGCAGTATTTCAAATCTGAACTGCTTATAGCAAAAAGCACCAAACACTTGAGGACTTAAAATTTTTCTGGCTGGGCGCAGTGGCTCACACCCGTAATCCCAGCCCTTTGGGAGGTCAAGGTGGCTTGAGACCAGGAGTTCGAGACCAGCCTGGCCAACACAGGGAGACCCTGTCTCTCTAAAAAATTTAAAAATTAGCCAGACTCGGTAGTGTATGCCTATAGTTGCAACTACTGGGGAGGCTGAGGCAGGAGGATAGCTTGAGCCCAACAGTTTGAAGCTGCAGTGAGCTCTGACTGTACCACGACACTCCAGCCTGGTTGATACAGTGTGAGACCCTGTTACCAAAAAAAAAAAAAAAAAAAAAAGAAAGAAAGAAAAAGAAAAAAACAACTACATTTCCTGAACACATTGGGTTATCTCACAAGTTAGCTCACCAGTTCAAAAACTAGTTTTTAGTTTCAATTCTAATACACAGATAATAACGCAACAGAAAAAACTGATGTTGCAAACATTCCATGGTTGGGAATAAAAAGATACTTATCTTACTGATGTTGGTAAGAGCAATCTTCTAATACTTTCTCTAAAAATAGCTACTACATTACTGCTAACCTCTGATATATTATTTGAATCACTCACCTTAACTAGTCCAACCCACTTGTATATGACAATGTTAACTAACTAAAGATCTACAGAAGCAATACACTGTAACTTGGTTGCTCAGAGGGCATCTCTAAAGATAAATCACAGAGCTAAGGTGGATATTGTTAGAAAAAGTCATAATCAGTTTATACAAACTATGTTTCTGAGGCAGGAGAATAGGGCCTGGAGGCAGGGAACCTAATGCCAATTCACCCTGACTTCCTAGAACTAAATCGGAAAAAAAAAAAAAAAAAAAAAAAATTTCAGCCTAAGTTAAAAAAGGACCAGAGGTTACTCCCTTTGCAAACCCCCATATTTTCTGCAGCGCAGATGGGAAATTGAAAGTACCTCTGATTGTTGCTTTCTGCAACCAGTCAGACATTTGTATAAGCATGCAACTTTGCAAGTTCACTTCAGCTTTCCACAGCCAATCAGATGTTTGCATAGGAGTGTGACCTTTGTAACTGCACGTCAGCCTCTGATTGGTTGCTTTCCACAACCAATCAGAATGACCATGGGGCCACCATTTCATTTACATGGGGTGAACACCAAGTGGCCAATGGCCTCTAGGGGGTAGCTGGATCCCAGAAGATTCTGTATCCAGGCCCTTGAGCGCTGCTCAGACTCGCTCCCACACTGTGGAGTGTACTTTCATTCTCAATAAATCTCTGCTTTTGTTGCTTAATTCTTTCCTTGCTTTGTTTGTGCGTTTTGTCCAGTTGTTTGTTTAAAACGCAAAGAACCTGGACACCATCGACAGGTAATACTTCTGTTCTGCCTTCTTTTTTTCTCAAGTCATGTATAATTCATAAATGTGTCCATATAAAGCCACGAAGCAATCATATCCGAATGTTGGTGTAAGTTACAGGTGAGAATAGATGTAAGTAAGTGAAGAGGAGATTTTCACTTTCTACATGGTGATTTTACAGCTTTACATTTTTCAAATAAATTTTCAAGTAAAATAAAATACTTTTCAAAAAATTATATGCAGTTGCACTTAGAAATGCATGATGTTAAAAAAAAAAAGTACTAATTTGCATGCCTTCTAAGTTGCAGTGTTTGGTAGACAGATGTTTAATATCCCCATTATCTGACAGATATATGAAAAAACAAACACTAATTAAGAATGCCAGCAAATATTTTTTCAAATAGATTTGGTTTCTGGGAAAATTTTTGCCCCTTTTAAAAAATCCTTGGAAGTACTGGTTATGCTGTAGTAAAGACAACCACCCAGGCTATTTCTTAGATTAGACAATAATCTGGCTCTAAAAGGAGAACACTGGCAAGAGTCAGTAAATTTCCTTTATTTCTCTCTCAATACTAGTTGAATGTGAAAGGAGGAGGGGACTGAGCTAAGAATATACAAGTGGAGAAAAACTGTTGGGAGGCATCAATAAATCAAGCAAGGGGATATTTTTCTCTATTAAAAGAAACATTCCAAATTCATGTTTCTAAAAGTTTTCTATAGACTAAACAAAAAAATGAATTTGGAACTCATACTTTCTGAGGCCCAGAGTAGGAAGTATTGAAATTAGCACTCCAAGTTACTTGCCAAAAAGAAAAGCATATTGCCAATAACTATTAACCTGCAAGATTATGAGACAATAGATTATCTCATGTTGGGAGTAAAAACACACCACTGTTACAGGCACATACTATAAACAAAGACAAAAAAGGAAGTTTATGGTTTGAGCAGTTATATGTCCACACAACTGTGACTCATGTTAAAGATAAGTCTTATTATATGCTGAGAGAGACCTAGATAATCACATTTCCCAGCATGTGATGATTCAGAAGTCGTTGGCCACCCCACACAAATCATTCTCATTAGGCCTCTCCCCCAGTACCACTCTTTACTGGTCTGACAGTTCTGTTAAAATGGTAGCCTCCTTTATTGGCTGATATGAAAACCTACCTTCTTCAAAGAAGTCTACAAACCCTAATTAGCTCCATTTTCTAAATGGTCCAAAAACGTCAAAGAAAGAGATGAAAAATCTGAGTATTTCACTTGTCTACAAAATCTTAACAGACATCAGAGGCTCATGGATTTCATTTTATCTTAATTTTGTCTTTTCCATGGAGTCTAGAGGTGGGTGATCAAGTTCAAAATACGTCGTTTACCTTAGAGTGATAAGAAAATGGAAGTGTAGTAAAAGAAGAGTAATTAATGTAAAAATAAACTAAGTGATTAAATCTGGTCACATCTTTTATTAGTTAAGCTGATATATTTATAAAACTCTTCATAAAACTAATGAAGTCGGTCTCTAAACTGAAGTATTACTTACAAGACATAATTTCTTAAGAAGACTAATTTCACATGTAATTCTAGAAACTCTTACCTTGAAAAGATTGTTTGGCTCTATCTACTAGTTCATCAATTGGATAACTGGCCAAATTTCCTCTGGCGTGTTTAGTTTTGCAGTAGGTACAAGCATTGAGACACCTGTTCAAATGATAACAATAAATAAGACTCAAATTTCTACACGGGGGTACCACAAAACATACACAAAAGTGCTCTTTCAGAAACATTTGCATAGTTTATACAAGAGATTCAAAAACCAAGTATCTACCATGTCTCAGAGTTATTTTATCTCTACCAGGCACAAAAATTTGTAATTTTTGTGAGTAGTTGAAAAAAATTTCAACTGCTCAAGAATGACTGTACAAATCACATATTATCTAAAAGTGCACATATCTATGAGGAAGAAAGTTTAAAAATGCTTACAATGACTAATCAAAAGAAATTCAAGACCTACATTACTTTTCATAAACTACTGACATTACTTTGGCCAACATAACTACAAAGTTCCAGTATCCCCTATACATACTATATTACTCAGAAAGGACATATACTCATCTAACTTTCAACTAATGATATAAGAATAAATAAGTAGATAATACAGCATTCTCATAAGAAAATAAACTCTTAGAAATTTTTAGATAATCTTTTGTAACTCCTTGAAATCAGGAAAAAATATTAAAGCATGTTCAATGAATAATTCTCTGAGACTACATTAATCAAAGTAAAAAAAGTAGAATGGCAATATTAGCTTTAAAAAATTAAAAAATTGGCATATTTCCCAACAGTATTTAGACATGATATAGAATTGTCTTTTTTAAAACTAAAATATCAGTTCTACTCTTATAATATTAAAATATACCTTAAACAAAATTATTACAAAATAAAAGACACAGTTACAAAATAAAAAATAGTTCTATATCAAAAAGATAAGGCTCAATAACACTGAACCAAAGAGAAAGGCACATCTCTTCAGTGATTCGATTGCTATAATGAGTAGCAAGGCTTTAAAAAGACCGTCAGTACATAAATGCTTTAAAATTTCATATTGAGAAAAATCGTACTTTTAACAATGGAATCTGACCCATGGGTAATTTTATTAATATATGACTTTAAGATACATATGAATCACTGTACTCAGAAGTCAAATATGCAATGCTTAATTTCTGAGAATTTTCACATGGGATCCTTAAGTAAAGTAACATACATTTTAAAGCATGTTTTACTATTTAACCAACCACATAATCTTGAACTGCTAACACTCTTTTCCTCCTAAGCAATTTACATTTTTAAAATAAACACAAATTGTGGCCTCTCTTCCAAATAGAGGTTCTAGTCTCCCAGTTGTTATATGTCTTCTCTTTACATTTTCTGCCCTTTCTATAACAAGGGGAAGGAGAAAACCATTCTATTGTTGTTTCCTTGGGAGAGTAATTCAATTTTGTTTAGCCGTTACTGAGCATCAGACACTGTTACCGATATTTTCTTTTCTTTTTTCCTTTTTCTGTTGTTTTGTTTTTTTGTTTTGTTTTGTTTTGTTAATAGAAACAGGGTCTCGCTATGTTGCCCAGGTTGGTCTCGAACACCTGGGTTCAAGTGACCCTCCCGTCTTGGCCTCCCAAAGTGCTGGGATTACAGGCGTTAAGTCAGTGAGCCTGTTACTGATATTTTATATGCCTTTTCTCTTTTAACCCTTTCAGAGTTGGGTTTCCCTATCTCCATCTTAGAGACAAGAATCCACCTCAAAAAATCAGATAAGTAGCTTGCTCAAGGCCATTTAACAGCTGAGATTCAAATCCGGGCCAGTGAGATTTTCTATACCAAGATGTTTCCATATCAAGCTGCTCTCTCCCACAAGAACTGAGCACCAAACATCTCAGCTGCACAAACATGCAAATAAAAAGACCTGCAAATCATCTGACATGAGATATAAACTAATATAGCATAAACATTCAAATATATGGCCAGTACTTATCTTCTTGAAGCTAAATATGAAGCTATTTAATTAAAATATGTGTTTCTCTCCTTTATTCTTTGGAAATCTAAGGTCAGGCCTCTTGTCCATCCACTGTCCTAAACCTGTCACTTTCACCCTTGTTTACAAGTTCTGGTTTTCATCCTCCTGCTGGTACTGTGTGAAAATGTGTCACTTCGTCGGACTTGCCACATCATTTTAAATTCCATAGCTCAGGTTCTCAAAGCTGTTTACTGGTACACTGGAAGACCAAGGTTCTCTGCTTTTTCCTCGAGTGTCTTCATGGCCCAGTCAATGCAGCAGGCCCTGTCAAGAAGCTGTGATTCCCACGTATGACTGGCATTCACCTAAGTTAAATCAGCATCCTTCCAGGGAACCTGTCATCTCTCCTTCTAATACTACCTCATTTATTGTGATCCCTTTCCCTTATTTGTCCTATTACCAATGGAAAGCTCCATAAATTAAGTGAACAATCTTAATGGAAGCTATTGGCCGAGCATTCCTAATCTGAAAATCTGAAATCCTCCCAAATCCGAAACTTTTTGAGCAACGACATGACATTACAAGAAGAAAATTCCACACCTGACCTCATGTGATGGGTTGCAATCAAAATACAGTCAAAACTTTGCTTCAAGCGCAAAATTATTTTTAAAATATTATGTAAATTCCCTTCTGGCTATGTGTGTAAGGTGTACATGAAACATAAATGAATTTTGTGTTTGGACTTGGGTCTCATCCCCAGGATATCTATCTATCTATCTATCTATCTATCTATCTATCTATCTATCTATCTGCAAATATTCCAAAAATTTAAAAAAAAAAAATTCAAAACACTTCTGGTTCCAGGCATTTCAGATAAGGGATAGTCAACCTGTGCTAATATTTCTGACTTTGGCTGTTTCTGAAAAGTAACTGTCTTAAGGAACACTAGCAGGGGGAAAGGGCAGGGAAGAAAAACAGGAAGAAAAAGAGAAAAGAAACTTATTTTAAAATTTATAACATAAATGAATTGATACATGTAAAATACTCAGAATGGTGTCTGTATCTAGTAAGCGATCAGTAAGTGTTGGCCACTGGTAGTTTAATGTGACTCTTATTAAACAATTCTGTGAGGAATTTATTATGCATTATCATATCCCAGGTGTACTTAACTTTATGGAACAGATGTGTTGCTGACAGGTTAGCTTAAAAGTCAACTGTGGAAACCAAATCACATTTTCCTACTGTCTCACTTAATAAAGATGGAAATGTATTCCCCGTGGAAAACCACTAATGAAACTGTACCAAAAAATTTAAATAAAACAAAGTGATATTCTGAAACATTTAGAATACTTAAGCAAGTAAAAATATTACATGCAGAATTCAAAAAGCTCTGTGTTAAACTGTTGCCTTGAGGTTAATTATAGTTGCTGACATGGTAATTTTTTGGTTTTTTGTTTGTTTGTTTTTGAGACGGAGTTTCGTTACTGTTGCCCAGGCTGAAGTGCAATGTCGTGATCTCAGCTCACCGCAACCTCTGCCTCCTGGGTTCAAGCTATTCTCCTACCTCAGGCTCCCCAGTAGCTGTGACTATAGGTACCCGCCACCACGCCTGGCTAATTTTGTATTTTTAGTAGAGACAGGGTTTCTCCACGTTGGTCAGGCTGGTCTTGAACTCCTGGCCTCAGGTGATTCACCCACCTTGGCCTCCCAAAGTGCTGGGATTACAGGCGTGAGCCACTACACCCAGCCAGTGATAGTTTTGAAGTTCCAAACTCTTTATTATATAAGATGGGTTCATCCTTATCCACAGTTATCAAAATAATACTGTATATTATCTCAAGAAAGTAAAAATTTCTTAAGAGCACATTTTTTGGCTGCTTGTATGTTTATTTTTAATTTTTGTGGGTACATAGTAGGTGTATATATTTATAGGGTACAAGAGTACACTTCTTTAAACTTGCTATAACAGTACCAATGCAAGCATTAAATTTGCTATTGTCTTTTAAAAGCTTTAAAAAGAAGAGATTTGTTATAATACACAGAAAAAAAAAATGCAGTGTAAAATCAGAAAAGAAAGAACAAGCATTTTGATGCTATTTGGTTGAAAAACAGTTTTTCTAATCATCAAGAATTATGTTGACCAATCATTTCAACATAAGAAGCTTCCCATAAAATAAAGAAATTCACAATAGAAACGTTTAGAAGATAGTTTCAGTTATCTGAAAACAATTAAATAATTGTCTAGGAGAAAGAATACTGAGCCAGTTTCTTCAACTGTCAGAAAACAAAAGATCTTTGAAGGTTGACTGCAGAAAGCCAAAACCCAAATGAGATGGCTGTTGAACTACAAGGAAGATGCAAAATCCAAATAGGCCTAGGCTGTCCTGATGGAAGGATAAAGCTAGCACACAATACCTACTAATCTTTGCACAGGTTGTTACATGGCCTGAGACCAAGAATGACTAAAACCCTCCAAAGCAGAGAGAGCTTAAGTATTTAATTTGGCAGTATAACCCAAGAAAGTTTTTTTTATTATTTTCATTTTTTAAAAAAGGTTTTTTTGTAAAGACAGGGTGTCACTATGTTACCCAGGCTGGTCCCGGGCTCAAGTTATCCTCCTATCTCGGCCTCCCAAAGGGTTGGGATGACAGGCGTGAGCCATTGCACCCAGTTCAACCCTGAAGTCTTAAGAAACATCTGTGGTAGCATGTTTTTAAATTACATAAACTGAACACATGAAATAACAATGAGTTTTCACAAATTAAAATACTTCAAAGGGTTTAAACACATAACGGTCAACTTAATATCCAAACCACATAAAGCAAGTGAAAACTAAAAGTTTGAACATACCTATTCTTTTTTTTGTAAAGAGCATCTTTAGATATTACAAATTCTGAAATAATTTAAAAATCAGAGTTATACTCTTAAAAAGTCACTCCTACTGGTATCTTTTTTTAATGGGGGGAAAAAAGGTGACTAATGTGACACAGTCTTCTGGTTTGCTCTGCTTCAGGCCAAAGATAACCTGAATACGCAAAAACCTTTTGGACTCAAGCACTAACACTTACAACCTCCACTTTCCAATCCACTCGCATGATTTAATCATTATTTGTTTTTCATAAACTGATAGAGTATGATCTTTCTCAAAGCTTCAAATGTTACAAAATGGTCAGGCGTGGTGGCTCAC